GCGCGTCCCCACTGAGCCCTGGAGACATTTCTCTGGTGGCACAGCAGCCTCGGTGCCCAGCACCCCTAATCCCTGCACACACACACACACACACACACACACACACACACACACACGCACACACACACACACACACACGCACGCAGGAGCAGGGTCTAGACCCAGGTAACTTTGCGCACTGGTGAGGGTAATGCTGGTTTTGTGATCTCCACTGCAGAGAAAGCCGGCCAGCAACTATAACCCAAGCGCAAGGACTGGAACGTTCTAAAAGGGGTCTTGGGATACAGAGCAGGCCAGGAAACGGAACAGGAGCGTGCAGCGGACTCACTGGCCCTCCGGGAGGGGAGAGGGGGCGGCGAGGACATGCGGCGACCTGGGGTGGGCGCAGCCCACGCCCTCCCTTCCTCGCAGGCCTCGGGAACCCCCGCCCGAGGAGCTAACCATTTATGTCACACTGTGACAATTATTCTGCATAAAATTATCATTAAAAACCCTAATTTTTCAGCCTCCAACCCCGCCAGTGGCCTTTTAGCATTCTTCAGCGCCGCGTCTGCAGGCCGTGATCAGCGGCTCATTACCGCGGCCTGGCGCCCCGCGCGCCCCGCAATCAAGCGCTAATTAACCCGCCCGGGCCGCGCCGGCGGGGCGGGGTCGGGGAGAGTCCGGCGCAGGCCTGAGGGGCGGGATTCCCGGCCTGGGACCAGGGTCAGACACTGGAGGGCCTAGAGGGACTGAGGGGTGCCAGGCCTGGGGACAGGGCTTAGGATGAGCCTGGGGACTAGGGATTGACAGGGGCCAGGCTTGGGGATCAGGGTCAGGGTGAGTCTAGGGACTGGGAACTGACTTGCCAGGTCTGAGGACTAGGGTTAGGGCGAGCGTGGGGACTAGGGACTGACTTGCTAGGTCTGGGGACCAGGGCTAAGATGAGCCTGGGGACTGACGACTGCCAGGTCTGGGCAGACCTGGGACCTAGGGCCGGACTAGTGCTAGGTCTGGGGACTAAGTCACATAGATCCTGGTTTATGGACCAGACTCAGGGTCCCCAGCCTGGGGGACTAGGTTCAGGATCCGGTGCTTAGGGACCAGAGTCAGGGCCTCTGCTGGGAACAAGGGACAGATGGATACCCGGCCTGGGACCTAGGGTCAGGGTTACATGCCTGGGGACCAGGTTTGAACCTGGGGACTAAGGCCGTGAAAGAGTGGGTTTGGTCCCGCCTTCCAGAATGCTCCCAAGGGCGAGACCTGGGTCCAGGCCTGCGATCCCTAATCTGGGTCCGTGCTTGGTGCCTGGGTCATCTTACCCGAGCGACTCTATGGTGCGGCACAGGTGCAAGGGCGCCAAGCCCTCGGAGCTGAGCAGATCTGGGTCCGCGCCCTGCTGCAGTAGCAATTGCGCGCAGGCCGTGTGGCCCCCGAGGCAGGCCTCGTGTAGGGGGCTGCGACCTCCCGGGCTGATGTCGGGGTCTGCGCCACGTCGGAGCAGGTGTTGCACGCAGGCTGTGTGGCCGTGGCCAGCAGCGATGCACAGTGGGGTGGTCAGTTCACGCTTGTACTCCAAGGTCCAGAGGCCTGGAAGGGAGGGGAGATGGTGTAAGGTGAATGGGGCAGATGGGCAGGGGAACAGGGAGGGTGCTCAGTGCCCTGAGGCAAGAGGGTGAATCCTGTGTTAAAGGCAGGTACCAGGTGGGCTGGGGGAGCCCCTTGAGAGTACAGAGGCAAGAACACCCAGACAGCAGGGAGTCAGGCTCAGTGAAAGACAGGGTCCACCGAGGGAGAAAGGAGATTGGAAAGGCTCCAAGTGAGTCAGAGAGGGACTCCCTAAATGCATGGTGGTGGCAGGGTAAGATTTAGAGTTTAAAGGCTGGTCCAGCAGGGAGGGCAGTGCCTGGATGGATAGGTGTATGGGGACCAGGTATTCAAGTGCAGAAAAACTTCTTCCAGGCTCTGAATTGGGGTTATCTTGAGAGAAAAGCAGGCTGTGGAATTTTCCACAATCTAACTAACCCTCTGTCTCCTAGCCCTTTATCATTAGAAAGGAAAAGACAAAAAAGCAAAAACAACAACAACAAAAAAAACCAAACAACAAAAAACTGACCCTGTCACCAAGGTTTGTTGAAGAAAAGCCTGGGGAGAAAGTTGGGTACCTTGGAAGCCTCTGCAGCAGGCCACATGTACAATTCTGCCTTGTTTCTTTGCTGTGTGTGTGTGTGTGTGTGTGTGTGTGTGCGCACACATGTGTGTGCGTGCGTGTGTGTGTGTCCGCTCTTTCTTGATGGATGAATGGAGCAGGTGCTATGTATTTACCTTCTCTGAACACTTCTGGGCTTTCACAAAGCTGGGGCAAGGTTGTTAGCGGCCAGGAGCACCTGTGGGAGGGGGGAGGTGTCCCTGGTGAATACCATCAAGGGACAGGCACTCACATGGCGGGAAGGCCTGTAATGATGGAAGGATCGATATGGTGACTGTAACGAGCTGTACAGGAGACCTTTTGTGTGGTCACCACACTTTCTGGGATCCATGCTGTGCTGTTTTGAAACATCACTCATTAATTACCCACCTGTGTGTAGAAGAGAATCCCAGCCCGCTGTTTGTCCCAAAGGCCCAGCCTGGAGCTTGCTGCCCACTCAGTTGGGGGAAGGGAAGGCCTGTCATCCCTGGTGTGGAGTGACAGTGGTCAGAGGCCTAGGGTGTGGTGTGTGTGTGTGTGTGTGTGTGTGTGTGCTTGGCTTTGGACTGCCTTTCACAGTGAAGGTGGTCTAACTAACTTATGGGGCTTGGGTGGGTAGGCATCTTCCTTTAGGAGACTGATTACCTGCATTCTTGCAGGGGTCAAACTTTGGATCCTTGCTTCAATGTATTTTCTTGAGTCTGCTTATTGACTTTTCCAGGGCATACAAAGTTCCCAACTCATCCTGCACCCCCTCCCCCCAGCAGCCCTGTTCACCCATCCTGGATTCCCAAGCCTGCCTAGGTCCTGTGCTGTGCTGATGAGCTTCCCCATGATAACAAGACCAGTCGGGGAGCCTCAGGTCAGTGAGAGACTCTGTTTGATAAACAAGGTGGGTGGTGCCTGGTGACTGACGACACCTGAGGTTGACCTTTGATACTTGCGTGTGCACACACCAAAACCTGACTTGGGCAAGTCAGTCACCTGCCGGTGATTGCCACTCCTGGTCCAAGTTCTGCCACAGGACATGGATTGAGGCTTCTCTCTGTATGGACCATCCTCTGAGACATCAGCTACCTGGGCCAACCAGCTTGGGACTGAGCTGGATGGGTCAGCATCCCACCACAGAGATGACTCAGGTGAGTTTGCTGAGTGCATGGGGAGTACTCCCTTAACGGTGGCCCTGAAACTGCTTGGAAGTCTTGTGAGAGAGAGCACAGCAGAGGGGGTTGGTGTTCTTAGTGCCTTAGGAGTCACGTGGCCTGGCAGGAAGATTGAGGAGCCCAGGGTCCCAAGCCCCTCCCTTCCTGGTCTTCTCTGAGCCTGTGCAGTGCTAACTCCCAACTCCTGTTCCTCTGGTCCTCTGCACACTCTAATCTCTGCCCAGCAGATGTGCTTCGGAACGGTTAGTGTGACACAGGAGGGGAAAGACTGAGGAAAAGAAGGAGCCAGATTTTGAATTTCAACAACATGGGTTAGACTAATGCCCGTCTATGATCTTGGTATTTGAGCATGTGTATGCCTCCAGGGTCAGGAAGCACAGGAGTTAAATAACCACGGGTTGAACATTCCAGTAGTTGACATTCTTGGCCTGGGGCAGGTGAAGGAGAAGGGCCCTACTATGAGGTGGTGCAGCCCCGACCAGGACTGATACCTCATCGCCTGCAGACCGGAAACCTCCCTCATGCACGCTGTGAACTGCACATGCAGCTCCTCGGCAGTGTTGTCTCCTCAGTCTCCCTTCCTTAAAAAGTATTTAATTAAAAAAATTTATGTGTATGAGTGTCTTGCCTGCATGCCTGAGGGGGTTCAAAGACAATGTTGGATTCTCCTGGAACTAGAGTTATGGATGGTTGTTAGCCACCATGTGGATGCTGGAATTGAACCTGGGTCCTCTGCAAGAGCAGCCAGTGCTCTTAACCACCGGACCATCTCTCTAGCCCCCTAGTTTCCTCTTCTTGTGAGGGGCATAAGCAAATCTTTGTTGGTTTTATTTTTTTAAACAAAAAATTTTTTTGAGACAGGGTTGCACCATGTAGCCCTAGTTGGCCTGGAACTTGCTATGTAGACCAGGCTGGGCTCCAACTCACAAAGATTTGCCTGGTTCTGCCTCACAAGTGCTGGGATTAAAGGTGTGTGCCACCATGCCTGGTTTAAAAATTTTTTTTTAAAATGGGAATGAGTGTTTTGCCTGCATATATGTAAGTGCACCTGTGTATGAAATGCCTGCAGAGGCCAGAAGAGGGTGTCAGATCCCCTGGAACTGGAGTTACAGATGGCTGTTAGCTGCCATGTGGGTGCTGGGAACTGAACCCAGGTCCTCTGGAAGAGCAGCCAGTGCTCTTAGCCACTGAGCCATCTCTCCAGCCCCTGTGTTGGTTCTTTGGATGCAACCCTCCCACATTCCTTGCCTGCCAGAGCTCACAAGTCAGGAACATGGGACGCTGGCCACAGCTCCTCAAATTCCCTTTGTCTGCCTTTAGATACGGGTTGATGGCAGGTGAAGGTAGCTAGCACAGGCTGCCAGCCTTGAAGTCTGGATATAGCTGGATGGCCAGTGGGAGCCTGTACATTCTGGGTGGGAGAAAGGACAGCTCTCCACTTGTATGGGGCTCTGCTTGGTTGCCCAGCACACAATGGCCACACCTGGGCACCAGGACTTCGTGCAGACATACACGACACAAGGACCTACGGATTTCTTTCCCTTTTCTTTCTCAGGCTTCCCCAGCTTCTAGGAGGAGGATCTGCTGAGAGCCTGTGACCTGCCCTCTCTAGATGCTGCCTGGGCCCCAGTGCCTCACTTCACTGCCAGGTACTGTGGCGTTCACTGGTTCATAGAAGGACCTCACACAGCTGGGTGCCAGAGGCCTGACCTTCTCCTGAACTTTCCTGATGGCTGCTAACAACAGCTAAGTCAAGACTGTTTTCAAAGCAAGAGAGAAGTCCCATACCATCCCAACGGTGCTCTCACCTTTCCAAGAGCATCTTCCACATCCCGGCACCCATCAAGACTAAATCTCCTTTTGTTACAGATGCTCCTGAAAGGCCATGCGCCCATCCAACCCAGCAGACGCATGTATTCCTGGAGTGTTAGAGAACTTTAAAAAGGCACAGCCGAGCTGTAGAGGAATCACGATACCTGATAGCCCAAAGGTGGCCATGGATTTCACCTGCCACTCCATCTCGTCCTTATTGATCTCAAAAACCACGTTGGCATCTTGGAAGAACTGGTCCATGAGGGGCCGAAGATGGTTCAGGTCTCCTGTGACCAGTGCAGCGTGGTACTCGAGCTCTGGTGTCCCGGCCTTAATTTGAGGCTCTTTTTCCATCTTCTGAAAGATCTGCAGTTTCCCTCCACCTGGCTCTGGCTGTGTCGCCATTGCAAAGCAGCTGATTTCAGAACAGTTTTTCAGAGGGGACAATGGCCTTATGGAGCATGCCCTATTTCTACTGTCATTGCTCGATTGTCCTCCAGTTGGGGCCGGATGGCGGTGTATTTATAACTCCAATGGGCTCTGATTCGATAGTGGTAACTTGATATGGCCAAGGTCATGTGACCACTGAGCTGTCCCAGTGCTCAGTCACCCTGTGATTGTATAGATGCTAGCTCAGGAGAAGGACACTTTGCCTGTTCCAGCACTGCTCTGCACACGTTGAAGAGAGATACCAGGTGCATGCTTTATTGTGACAGACTCATGATCCCTCTTATCTACTGTTTGGCAAGGTGATCCCAGCCTTACATAGCATCAAACATACCTGTTTTTGCAGGTTAAGTGATGAATTTGTAAATATGACTTCAGTGACCACAGTACTTAGCAATAAGCAATATTCTGTCTGGTTTATAAAACAAAGTGCCATATTTAGACTTGGGGACACAGGTCTTCAACTCAGGAAAAAAACCTAATGTTTATGAAGCATCAGGTGTACACTAGTTGCTATTTATGGATTGTGATAGCTTTGTAGAATAACAGGCTTGGGGAGAAAGAGGTGGGGCCAGGGCCGCTCACCAGTGTGTGGCAAGCTGTGATCAGAGCTTGAGTTCCAGAATCTGTCCCCCTCCCTCCCTGGGCCACTGCCCAGATTCCAGAGCTGACTGGAAACCAGCACTTGAGAAGCTGTCATGCAGAGGGTCATGTTGCTGGACTGCAATGCCACTGAGGAAGGAGGTTCTGGCTCCTGTGAGTTGCTCTCAGGAGGCTGGAGCAGAAAGCGGTCTGCCTTCACTGGCCTCCATCCCAGTGTGTATATGGACCAGGCACGAGCAGCGGCTTCACATTACGAGAGGTTTGAAAACAATCAAAGGGCTGGGGAGACGGCTCAGATGGATCAGACAACGATCTGAGTTCAAACTCCAGAACCCACATAAGAAAAGCTGAGTGCAGTGGTGTGTGTTTGTAATTCCAGCACTGGGGAAACAGGCAGATGGATCCTTGACGCTCCCTGGCCAGCCAGCCTAGCCTAATCAGTGATCTCCAGGCCAAGGAGAGATGGGGGTGAAGGGGGGTGGGGCTGGAGAGATGGCTCAGTGGTTAAGAGCACTGGCTGCTGTTGCAGAGGACTCAGGGTCAATTCCCAGCATCCACATGGCAGCTAACAACCATCCGTAGTTCCAGTTCCAGAGGAATCCGAAGCCCTCTGCTGACCTCTGCAGCATTGCACGACATGGGTGCACTTACACACATTCAGGCAACACACTCATACATATAAAATGAAAAACAAAATACTTAAAAAATCAAGGTAGAAGACTCCTGAGGAATAATACCAGGGGTTGTCCTTGGCCTACGTACGTGTGTACACACACATGCACCTCCATCCACATACATACACCCGCACACACATGCACACAGACACACATGAAAGCAATCAAAATAAGACTATCTTATGACACTGGGAAATGATGGGAATTCCAATGGTCTTGTCCATAACTGAAGTGTCCTGGAACCCACAGAGCTACATGTGTTTCTGTTCTGTCAGCTTCTGCCTCCAACTTATAATAAGTTGAGTTGTAAGAGTGACCTCATGGCCCTTAGAGTGGGAAATGTTTATTATCCCTAGTTCAGAAGTTGAGGTCCAGCAAATTCTTATTTCTGGGAAATGATGGGAATTCCAATGGTCTTGTCCATAACTGAAGTGTCCTGGAACCCACAGAGCTACATGTGTTTCTGTTCTGTCAGCTTCTGCCTCCAACTTATAATAAGTTGAGTTGTAAGAGTGACCTCATGGCCCTTAGAGTGGGAAATGTTTATTATCCCTAGTTCAGAAGTTGAGGTCCAGCAAATTCTTATTTATAATTCTCTCTTCTCTCTCTCTCTCTCTCTCTCTCTCTCTCTCTCTCTCTC